AGTTCATCAGGATTTTCTTTGTTTCCTCCTTGTCAGTTGTGCAGGACGGAGGACCTGACGAAGACAGCTGTCTAGTCATTCGGATGGTATAAAAAAACAAGGTCCTGTGTCAACATTGGGGTGCACATAAAAGATCCCTTGGCAGATGGAATGTGATATAAGAGTATACCTGTCCTCATTAGCCTAGTCGGAGCAGAACAGTAGGACGTTAAACCCCATTTCATTTCATTTTAACCATAAATCATAAGGGATAGTGGAAACATTTCAACACTTTCGCCAAAATGAATATATAACCTTGGATAGATTTACAAATACCGGTACTCACCCACCTGCCCATTTAATTTCTCATTTTCTATCTGTAGTGTCGTTCACTCAACAGTGAATTATTCCTTTTAACCCAAATGTTGAAACTTTGAGATGGTCCCTAATCGACATATTGACGTCATGCCAAAACTTGGTAAATATTCCCCAATCTGTTTCACAGAGGTATTGCAAAAGCCTTCTATATCTGTGCAACTTTACTCACCTTTGTAAGTTCAATGGCTTCTACATGTGATTATGGAGGGGGTGGGGGCATGTTGTATCATAAGATCTGTCATTGAGTCAACTGCCATGGTTTCGACTCCCTGGTTGTACGTGCCAAGGAGTAGTGTCACCTGTCCAACCTCGTGGGTTTTCTCCGGTTTCCTCCCACTGCTAAAGACCCCTACGTGCAAGCGAATTTTGAAATAAAATTTAACCATATGTTAGTTCCGAAATGACCTAGTTTGTGTCGAGTGGACGTTAAACCCCATTTCTCTCTCTCTTTTCTCCCCCGGTTTCCTCCCTACTTTGTGGGTTTTCTCCAGTTTTCTCCCACTGCTAAAGACCCCTATTTATTGAAATAGAATTAAACCATATGTTAGTCCCGAAATGACCTAGTTTGTCTCGGGAGGAGGTTAAACTCCATCTCTCTCTCTCTATTTCTCTCTCTCTCATACTAGAATTGAACCATATGTTAGTCCCAAAATGACCCAGTTTGTCTCAAGAGGAGGTTAAACTCCATCTCTCTCTCTCTATTTCTCTCTCTCTCATCCTAGAATTGAACCATATGTTAGTCCCAAAATGACCCAGTTTGTCTCGGGAGGAGGTTAAACTCCATCTCTCTCTCTCTCTATTTCTCTCATCCTAAAATGATCTAATCGGTATTTAGTCTTATTTGTCTTTCTCTATTTCCCAAGAGCAATACGTGGAGAAGTTCAAGATATTTAGTTTCTCTGATAATAACCTCAAAATTAGCTTTTAAATCACAATAATGTAGTCGTTAATCACCTTTGTGTCTATGATTGATAAAAAGAAACCTACCAAATATCTTCTAATGCTTTTTTAATGATTGGAAGTAGATCTAGCACTCAAAACAAACACATTTTTTTTTTTTTTTAAATTTTAACTAGATCATCCAAAATATTACATTGTATAACATCTTCATTTATATATTTGCCATTTTAAATCAATCCCTGGTTGTACGTGACAAGGAGAAGGGTCGCCTCTCCAACCTCGTGGATTTTCTCAGGGTCCTCCGGTTTCCTCCCACTGCTAACAATGTAACCCAGGTATCGTTTAATCTTGTGTATCTAGCACTAATTTCTTTCACATTCGTTTAATATCCAATCTTTGTTTAAAAATTTGTAAAAACTGTTTAAAATCACCATAAATCGTTTAATTTGTACTTGTGTCCAGTTTAAAGCTGACCATTCAATTTTGATAATGAGTGTCCAATTTACAAGTGTTTAATTTCTCAATCATTGTTAAAAAATAAACAACCCAATTGATTACTGATGTATAATGATTAATTTTTGAAAGTGATCAGGAAATTAAATACTTGTAAATTGGACACTCATTATCAAAATTAATCAGTCAACTTTAAACTGGACACATGTACAAATTAAACGATTTATGGTGATTTTAAACAGTTTTTATAAATTTTTAAACAAAGATTGGATATTAAACGACTGTGAAAGAAATTAGTGCTAGATACACAAGATTAAACGATACCTGGGTTACAGTGTAAAGACCCCTACGTGCAAGCGAATTTTTGAAATAAAATTTAACCATATGTTAGTTCCGAAATGACCTAGGTTGTTGTCGAGTGGACGTTAAACCCCATTTCTCTCTCTCTCTCTCTCTCAAATCAATAAGAATATAATTATTAGTGTGCGAGTGATGCATTAACATCTGAGGAGCCACAGTGGCTAAGTGGGTAAGACGCTTGCTGGCTAGCCTGGAAGTCGCGAGTTTTCTCCCAGTGTTCGCCAAGAAAGTTTATGGAGCCCCGGTGGCTCAGTGAGTAAGAAGCTGGCTGGATATCGGGAGTTCGATCCAGGTGTTGACCCAGAAAGTTCGCATGGATTTTCTGGCATGCTTTCCCCTCATCAGTAGGCAGAGGGCCCGACAAGGACAGTTGTCTAGTGGTTTGGATGTGACAAAAAACGAGGTCCCGTGTACACATTGGCATGCACGTAAAAGATCCCTTTTATATAAGAGTAGGCCATAGCGCAACACTGTCCAGGCAAAATGCCCCGCATACCTCACTGCATGGCGTATGCCTGTCTTCATTAGCCAAGTCGGGGTTAAATGTTTTCCTTAAAAACCAACATGTTAGAATAAAGTTTAAAGGAGCTAAGTCCCTAATATTTGGGACCTAGAAATTGACACAAATGGGTCGCAACACATATAATAATGTAGTATGAATGTATATAAATTGATTTACATTAAATCGTTTCCTTTTTTTACTGTAATTTCTAATCAGTTAGGTTCGGTCTGCGAAATACGCCAGTGTTCTCAATCAAATTTCAATCTCTAGCGTCTGGTTATTCCAGTCTACGCCGATAGTATTTATTAGGCATGCTCTCCAGATAAGAATATAGCATCACCGTTTTAAACATAACTTGTGGAATATGCCTAGCCTCGTTTTTCGAGTCCCTTATTACAAATAGGGCTCGTGTACCAATTGTAAAATGTTTATTTTGTCTTTAAATATTGGATATCAGAAGGCCATCTTTTCCCGTTAAGATCACAACACCAATGTTGATTTAAACTGACAAATAAATCGTGTTTTCAATGTCGAAGATTTTGGATGATACTGAGTTAGCTACTTTAAATATAGAGTTTTATAACCATCAACTGTCATTATAAAACATTTTAGTCGAAAACATTATTTTAATCATAGTAAACAAAAAATATGGGAACCCTTTGGGACTATATCTTATCATTAATGCCATCTTGTGCAAATGTTCTTAAAAATGTTAATCTATTTGCATGAATTTATTGGCTTTTCTAGTGGCATCCTTTCTGCAATTGTCTGGGTCAGTCTTAAAAAGCTTTATTATTTTAATCATAACATTTCTACTCATGTTCTTTGAATTTGAGGGGGTGTTTCCTTCCACTGCTAAAGACCCCTACGCTTCTAGTTTGTGTTGAGTGGACATTAAACCCCATCTGCGAACCGTTTTTGGTCTGTTGTGTTTAATGATTTGAATCAATCAACTTAAACATACATTATGCAAGAGTTAAATCTGCCTATTACAGGTCTTTCTTTAGGCCTTAAATGTAAAATAAACTATTAATTAGACATTTATTAACATGACAAGGCCATAATCAACTCTCGATGCCCTCGGATGGGTCCGATTTTAATTTGATTAGAACAGTATGGCCATTTAATGATTTAATTTAAAAATGGTGTGAAACAAGGCTAAGCCTCGAACAACCACTGCGGTGGTTACAATCAGTGCACACATCTTATCAAACCTTCAAAGGCTTATATCTTTGCCCAGAATAAAGTAATTTGAATGAAATTTTCAATATATTCATTTTGCATTATCTATTTTTGACCTATTATAGCAAGAACAGCCAGCGCTTTATCTAAATCTTCCATAATCCATCTTTAAGTTATGGTCACTTAAAGTTTACATTGTTTTCTCACCAACATATAATGGTCACTTAAAGTTTACATTGCTTTCTCACGAACATCTTATGGCCACTTAAAGTTTCTTACCAACATCTTATGGTCACTTAAAAGAGAGAGAGAAATGGGGTTTAATGTTCACTCGACACAAACTAGGTCATTTCGGGACTAACACATGCTTCAATTTTATTTCAATAATTCGCTTGTGCGTAGGGGTCTTTAGCAGTACAAATCGAAACCATGCCAGCTGACTCAATGACAGACCTTATGATACAGCGTGCACATGCTAACCATTCAGCCATCCAACCCCTCCTATGGTCACTTAAAGTTTACATTGGTTTCTCACCAATATCTTACGGGCAGTTTTTCAAAAACATGTTTAAACATCCTACTTTTATACACAAACATGTTTAATCAAGACAGGAATATGTCATGAGGGAAATACTGCCCATCCGAACAACAATGGAAGCTACGATGGAAAATCCGAAGGAATTTTCTTTGGCTAAAACCACTCAGATCCCCTGTTCAGCAAATTAGTGCTGCACTCACCCAGTCACCATGGCTACCATTCTTTACTCAGAATAAGTTTTATGTACTGGAACATATATGCATTTATATTGGATTTGTGCCCCAAAAAGAAGCTGCCAACATGAGTCAAGTATTTTGACGAAGACCATTAAACCCAATTTCATTTCATTTCTGGTCCGAGACCACTTGTTTGGTCAAAATCTATGACTCCACTACAAGTCACAAAAATGAAATGAAATGAAATGGGGTTTAACATCCTACTGTTCTGCTCCAAACTGGGCTAATGAAGATGGGCATACGCCATACAGTGTGCTATGAGGGAAATTTTGCCAAGGCAGCGGCACTACGGCTTACTCTTACATCGAATTCCAACTGTCAAGGGATCTTTTACTTGCATGCCAATGTGTACACGGGACCTCGGTTTTTCGTCTCATCCGAATGACTACACAGCTGTCCTTGTCAGGCCCTCCGTTCTGCACCACTGACAAGGGGAAATCACGTCGGAAAGTCACAAAGAAATAAAGATGAAAACGATTAATATTTTTATTTGTAAAGTATTTGATAGTAACAGTATTATATAAACATCCAGTCTGATAAATACAAAAATATACATAATAATAAGATGAAGAATATGAGGTGTGTGTATATTGAATATTATAATTAATGAGAATATTTAGGGTATATAGTATACATATAATTTATACATTATATTACATTTCTTCAATCATTTGAAGTCAACTATTTATTTAATTTCACTTAAAATATTACAAATTTAATTAATTCAGTAATTTTAAAATATATTCAGAAACAATACAAAACCAAGTGTATGGCGCTATTGCGTGTTGCATGTGCAGCTCAGTGGTTCTGTTGGGGCGATAAGTTCTTCATCTGTGAACATACTCTCAAAGCATATCAAGTGTCCATGACTATTTATCATATCACAACCTGCCTAGGTATTTGCATTTCAATATCCCCTACTTTTTTTGAAGAGTATATTACAAATTCAGTAATTTTAAATAAACTACTATTTATTGTATCTGATTGCAGTGAGCTTTCATCTCAATCAACATTTGCCCATCTTGATGGACTGGTAGTGAAATTTACATGCCCTAAAACATTAGGTATTGCAGTGAATATAACCATAAAAAACACCTTTCAGAACTATGACATTGATATATCTGTAATAATACTTCTCATTTGAGGTATTTACATAACTTACAAATTTTTAATTATCAGTAAATTATACAGTTTGATTAATATCAGACCATCCTTTCTTTTGTTTCTATGTTGTTTAGACATATAAAACATTTAGGTCCGTAGTACCGTAGTTGATCTTCAAGTACGTAGTAAGGACCAACCAAAACAAAATCAAGAATGCAATAAAGTTTAATTTAGATTGTAAAACGCAGAAATCATTATTTTTCATTTTTTCCTGTACTTTCCACAAACAGTTTCAGACGGTATAAAATAATGTCAAAGAGAAGTAAATTGGTAATAGATAAAAGATAGCTGTCTGTTTATGAGCTCCAAGAAAGTAGTTCTATATACATGCCATTCCCATGTTATTTACATTCCCATGTTAAATATCGTTCATAAAAAAAAATATATACATGTATAATATTTATCTTAATATTAAAAACAAAACTTTAAGGTCATGTGACAAGCTGGGATATATATGTCAATCTGATTAAAAACACAGATCCTATTTCGTTTCGTTTTTTATAGATCAAAATTTTGTTTTACTTGTCTTTAGTACACTAGGATCTGGAAGAGTTGTTATATTACGGGCGTTCTGGCTGAAGTGAGGGATTAGCCAATGAAACGGTCTGTTACGGTGAATTCTTGGCATTTCATGCACAGAACTCTGGGTAAACCACTAGAAACGTCAACGCTAATTGATTAATCAATGTCTGACGTCATACATATAGTGTCAAAAGCCGCTCCTACAACCCCTGACGGGACCTTCCAGTACAACAGGTCAGATCTTCAAGTAGTAGAGGCCATTGAAAGTATAAAAAAAAACGAAACGAAATATAGATCTGTATTTTAATCAGATTGTAACAATCATTCATTATCAAAATTGAAAGGTCAGCTTTAAAATGGACACAAGTACAAATTAGATGATTTTTGGTGATTTCAAATGATTTTTACAAATTTTTAAACAAATATTTGATATTGAATGAATGTGAAAGAAATTAGTGCTAGATACACAAAATTAAATGATACCCAGTTTACAGTGTGACAAGTTGTGATTTACAAGTCATTATGATTATCTCCCTTGTGTATCACCTTGTGTAGGAACTTGATAATTGTGAAATAATCTATTCTTAATCATCAATTCAATCCTTAAATTTATCCGACGATGTCACCAAAATCATACTTAAAGCATAATAATAATCCCTAAGCAACAAAAACTTGACAAATAGGATGGTTAAATCCCTCCATCAAGAAGGTATTTTGTCACAGTCATGGAAGTTTCAATATACTACATATTAAAGGACAATATTAGTGTCAGTCATTATCATAATAGAACAGATTAAAACTGAGAAAACGAGAAAAACAGAAAAAGTCTGGGCATTACCATGTTTTTATTAAGTATAGAATGAATAAAAACAAAGACATGTAGAGAATATTTCTTTTTATCTCGTTTTTCCTTATCTTATGACATTCAGTTACTTTTTTACTTTTTTAATTTATCAGATATCCACTCAAAGCCTCACATAACAACTGTTGGTCTTCAAGGGAATTGTTAGTGAGCAGAAATTCGCCCGTGTATCAGTTTTCACTTGTTACTTCAGTCAGTTATATTATAGAAGCATAACTCGTGTTTTCCTCTTGCGTTCGTCACTTCCCTTTTTTGAAAGATTCATAATGCATCTATCGTAGCAATGATCTCTGTGTTAAAATTATATCTGGAACGTGGTTAACCAGTTCTATCACATATATGATAATGACTGACACCAATTCTCCGTCAAAACCTAGTAACTGACTTTTTTTTTTATCAAAATTGAGTTAGGACCAAATTTGTAGTTACTAGGGTATGTGCTCCCTGTTGTTGTACTAGATATTCCAATCTTTTGATTTTGTAAGCAGTTACACCCATGACACAACCTAGCAACTTCCTTCATTTGCCTAGTATGCCACAGAAAAACCTGTTCCCTTTACATTATCTAGTTTTTAACTATCATAGTGAGAACTGCTAGCTCTTTATCTAATCTCCCATAATGAATCTTTAATTACCTAATCAATCCAGCCTATTATCAACATAATCGGGTTGAGTGGTAGTTATACACTCACTCAGTAAACTATATTAATTTTGGAATTTTGAATATTATTCACCATGTCGTGATGTGCGATTGGGTATATTCCTGGTTGGACAATTTAGGATGTTTGGAAAATAGGGTCGAACATGTCCGGAATATATTACATAATTAATCCAGCCTATTATCAACGATAGGCCTAATCGGGTTGAGTGGTAGTTATACACTCACTCAGTAAACTATATTAATTTTGGAATTTTGAATAATAATAACCATGTCTTGATGTGCGATTGGGCATATTTCTGGTCGAACAATTTAGGACGTTTGGAAAATAGGGTCGAACATGTCCGGAATATATTACATTATTAATCCAGCCTATTATCAACGATAGGCCTAATCGGGTTGAGTGGTAGTTATACACTCACTCAGTAAACTATATTAATTTTTGAATTTTGAATATTATTCACCATGTCGTGATGTGCGATTGGGCATATTCCTGGTAGGACAATTTAGGATGTTTGGAAAATAGGGTCGAACATGTCCGGAATATATTACATAATTAATCCAGCCTATTATCAACGATAGGCCTAATCGGGTTGAGTGGTAGTTATACACTCACTCAGTAAACTATATTAATTTTGGAATTTTGAATATTATTCACCATGTCGTGATGTGCGATTGGGCATATTCCTGGTAGGACAATTTAGGATGTTTGGAAAATAGGGTCGAACATGTCCGGAATATATTACATAATTAATCCAGCCTATTATCAACGATAGGCCTAATCGGGTTGAGTGGTAGTTATACACTCACTCTGTAAACTATATTAATTTTGGAATTTTGAATATTATTCACCATGTCGTGATGTGCGATTGGGCATATTCCTGGTAGGACAATTTAGGATGTTTGGAAAATAGGGTCGAACATGTCCGGAATATATTACATAATTAATCCAGCCTATTATCAACGATAGGCCTAATCGGGTTGAGTGGTAGTTATACACTCACTCAGTAAACTATATTAATTTTGGAATTTTGAATAATAATAACCATGTCTTGATGTGCGATTGGGCATATTTCTGGTCGAACAATTTAGGACGTTTGGAAAATAGCGTTGGACATGTCCGGAATATACGGGTGAAATCTCATCACTGGTATATATATTGTTAAAACAAGAAGATTAAAATTATAAAGTTATATTCATTCTGATCTAATTACCAATCAGATCCTATTTCGTTTTGGTTTTATAGTTCAAAATTTTGTTTTACTTGTCTTTACTACACTAGGATCTGTTATATTTACCGGCGTTCTGGTTGAAGTGAGGGATTAACCAATGAAATGGTCTGTTACGGTGAGTTCTTGCCGTGCTATGCACAGAAATGTGTGTAAACCACAAGAAACGTCAACGTTGATTAATATATCAATGTCTGACGTCATAGGATCAAAAGCTGCTCGTACGATCCTGACAAGACCTTCCAGTACAACCAGTTAGATCTTCATGTAGTGTAGGCCATCGATAGTATAAAAACGAAACGAAATATAGATCTGTATTTTAATTAGATTGGGAATTCCCATGAGCCTGATTAGAGAATTCCCGATAGATGAATTTTCCATATGGAAATGACCCTTCACCTCTACACCAAAGGCCTAAAAACAGATGATGCCTAGCTAATGAATGTGAGCTGCAAAATATACTTTTGGCGTAAAAACTACAAAATTTTTGAACTTAAAGCTGAATTATTTACAGTAAAAATTCTGGAAGGGTCGAATGGTTATGAATGCGAGCTACAAAATAAACTTTTGGCGTAAAAACTACAAAATTTTTGAACTCAAAGCTGAATTATTTACAATAAAAATTCTGGAGGAGTCGAATGGTTATGTTGCTGAGAACCTTTGCAGTAAAAATGTCTGACAATCATCACAGACACGAACTGGTTTGGAAGAAGAAGGCAGTGACATCTTATTATCGGAACACTCATTACAGTATATATATCCACAGTTTCTACAATGATGCTACAAAATACAAAACATATCGACAAAAATTAAAATAAATTTCATAAAACAGAGGAGTGTTTCAGTGGCTCATGCTAGGTTCCCACTACAAAATATAAAAGATATTGAGAAAAATGAAAATATATTTTATACAAATAGAGCTGGCTTTTCTATACACCAGCAGCAAAGTCCAATCTCATTAGGAGAGAGAGAGAGAAATGGGGTTTAACGTCCACTCGACACAAACTAGGTCATTTCGGGACTAACATATGGTTTAATTTTATTTACATAATTCGCTTGCACGTAGGGGTCTTTAGCAGTGGGAGGAAACCGGAGGACCAGGAGAAAACCCACGAGGTTGGACAGGCGACCCTACTCCTTGCCACGTACAACCGGGGATTCGAAACCACGCCAGTGGACTCAATGACAGACTTTATGATACAGCGCGCACACGCTAACCATTCAGCCATCCAACCCCCCCAATCTCATTAGGATCTGCAGTGGCTTATTCTAGGTTCCTATTATTATCACAATTCATGCTACGATTAAAATCGTAATTAAAATAAATTTTGATACAAATAGAGCAGGCTTTTTTTATACACCAGCAGCAATGTCCAATCTCATTAATTAGGAGCTGCAGTGGCTTATGCTAGGTTCCCACTGTCACGGTTCGTGCTACAATTGAAATCGTGGTTTTAATCGAGGATTAATCGTTGTGATCCTGTCATGTCTTATCATATATTTTGGTTAGTCGTAGCAATAGTGTTGACTGTATCGAAACGTATCTGCATCAAACCAATTTAAACGAAACAAAATGAAATGAAATGGAGTTTAACGTCCTACTCTTCTGCACCTAACCTGGGCTAATTGAAGACGGTAAAGGAAACAAGCAGCCTCCACAAATCACAGGTGTGGAACCAATCAGATTGCAGATGTTATGAGGTTATGACCCAAATGGAATTGAATAAATTATTAATGCAGAGCAACAATATAATGAATAAGTTAGTTCTGGTAATAATCTATTAAAACCCAGAGCTTATTTTGTTTCGTCTTTTATAATTAAAAATTTCATTTTACTTGTCTCTATTACACTAGGATCTGGAAGAGTTGCTATATAACATGATGATATGAGGGATTAGCCAAGGAAATGGTCTGTTATGGCAAGTTTTTAGCGTGAGGTACACAGAGCTGTGGGTAATCCACTAGAAACATCAACGCTGATTGGTTAATCGAATGTCTGACATCATAGTGTCAAAAACCACTCATATGACCTCTGATGCAACCTTCCACTACAACCGGTGAGATCTTAAATTTATGTAGTGGAGGCCATCAAAAGTATAAAAAAACAAAACGAAATATAGATCTGTATTTTACCACAGGAGTCAGTGCATGGCGGCCGTGACAAAATAGAAACGGACGAAAGTAATGTAAATATTGGAAACAAGTGGCTATGATATCGTTTTGTGGGAGTATTCATGCAAATGAAAACGACTAGATTGAAGAAAAAACATATCTGAGTGAATCGACAGAGGTTTGATAGCCTGACATTACGAATTGTTGAAAAAAATCGAGCCGAAGCGAGAGCAGGTAAAATCGAGTCTTCAACAGGCATTGCATTCCTGTTCTTTTTTATTATATATTGTCTGGTTGGACATGGTGTATGCATATATATACGGATAGAAGGTCAGACTCCTGTGATTTTACTCAGAATGTTCTGGTATACTCACCTTTCTGCGTGATATTGAGAATTCTTTTTCACATTTTTTACAATGTTTAGATTCTGTATCATCCATCCATTGAGCTTCTTTCACAACCAACTGACTTTCTTTCATATTCTCTACTTTCATTTTTGAACTGAAACAAAACACAATCATAATTAAGTCTTGCCAATCACTACAACTTGGATATCGTGTATTTAATGTGCTGTTTTAGTGGGAGTTTCTGTATTTAATGTTTAGTTTCGAATCATTGTAGTCAAATTGTTCAAATTCATTGAGAGAAAGAGAGAGAGAAATTGGGTTTAACGTCCTCTCGACACAAACTAGGTCATTTCGGGACTAACACATGATTTAATTTTATTTCATTAATTCGCTTGCGCATAGGGGTCTTTAGCATTGGGAGGAAACCGGAGGACCCGGAGAAAACCCACGAGGTTGGACAGGCAACCCTGGGATTCGAAATCACACCAGTTAACTCAATGACAGGCCGTATGATACAGCACGCACTTTCTAACCATTCGGCCATCCAACCCTCCCTAGATCCCGTCTAAATGTAATGTAAATATTGAGATGTAAACAAGAAGGTGCAGTCATCAGCAAAATGACGGACAGAGAGACAAGCTCATTTCAATATCTATATACCTAAGGTTGTTTAGCTCAGGATATTAAAACACTATTTTACATCAGGTAAGCACAAGTTACCCGAGGGAAGAACAAGATACCCAAGGGAAGAAAAAGGCACCTCAGGGAAGAACAAAATACACCAAGGAGGAATAAGATACCTCAGGGAAGAAGAAGGCACCTCAGGTAAGAACAAAATACACCAAGGAAGAACAAGATACCTCAGGGAAGAACAAGATACCTCAGGAAGAAGATACACCAAGGAAGAACAAGATCCCTCAGGGAAGAACAAGATACCTTAGGAAAGACCAAGGAAGAACAAGATACACCAAGGAAGAACAAGATACCTCATACACCAAGGAAGAACAAGATACCTCATACCTCACCAAAGAACAAGATACACCAAGGAAGAAAAAATTACCTCAGGGAAGAACAAGATACCCCAGGAACAAGATATATCAAGGAAGAACAAGATACCTCAGGGAAAAACAAGACATCTCAGGGAAAAAATAAAAATATTAGGGAAGAACAAGACATCTCCGGGAAGAACAAGATACCCCAGGAACAAGATACATCAAGGAAGAACAAGATATCTAAGGAACAAGATACATCAAGGAAGAACAAGATATCTAAGGAACAAGATACATCAAGGAAGAACAAGATACCTAAGGAGGGAAGAACAAGATACCTCAGGGAAGAACAAGACATCTCAGGGAAGAATAAGTTACCTCAGGGAAGAACAAGACACCTCAGGGAAGAACAAGATACCCCAGGAACAAGATACATCAAGGAAGTACAAGATACCTAAGGGAAGAACAAGATAACCCAGAAACAAGATACATCAAGGAAGTACAAGATACCTAAGGGAAGAACAAGATAACCCAGAAACAAGATACATCAAGGAAGTACAAGATACCTAAGGGAAGAACAAGATAACCCAGAAACAAGATACATCAAGGAAGTACAAGATACCTAAGGGAAGAACAAGATAACTCAGGGAAAAACAAGACATCTCGGGGAAGAATAAGATACAAGAGGCAAGATACATCAAGGAAGAACATGATAGAACAAGATACAGTACCTTATATTAGGAAGTAGTGTTTTGCTGTTACACAATGTAGGAACATGAAATATCGTTTTTTTTTTTTTAATATCTTGATTTTTGTAATTGAAGACTTTACTGATCCTGTCACATACGTGATAATCATTAGCCATCCTTAAATTTTATTTAAGAAGAACTCAACTTACTCTCCAAGTTGTGAACCAAGTTCTGCTAGAGCCCTCTCTTGATCTTGACACATTTCTTGTATTGACTGATACTGACTCTTCAGCTGGTTATATTCCTAGAAAATAATATAAATAAGATGACTGGTCATCAACATCCTGCTCCAAGAAATTCCTAAATAGCAAAAGACAAAACTACTGTGGTAAGTTAATTTAAAGTTTCATAAAGATATCTTGAACAGTTTATGAGATATGCTCCGGAAACGAAATTGGGACAGACGGACACACGGACAGACCTCATTCAATATCCCTCCCTAACTTTGTTTGCCACGGATAATTATTTAAGTCACAAAACTGATTGGTAATAAAGTCTGTCAAAAACCTACCAAATTATTATGTTTTTTTATAAATATTCAGTTGCATTATATTCAAGCCAATTTTTTCCCCATCATCTAGTGCATATATATATTTACATGAGATGTTGAACATTTTACAGCACTGTTTGTTTTGTTTGCATTTTTGTTCTACAGATAGAGAGAGGGAGAGGGGGTTTAACCTCCACTTGACTCATTTCAGGACTATCATGTGGTTCAATTTTATTTCATTAATTTGCTTGCGTGTAGGGGTCTTTAGCAGTTGGAGGAAACCTGGAGAAAACTCACATGGACAGATGACAGTACTCCTTGTCGTGTACAAGCGGGGAATCGAAACCATGCCCCTTGATTCAATAACAGACCTTATGGTGCAATGCTCACACGTTAACCATTCGACCACCCAACCCCACTGATGTTAAAGGAGAAATCCCATATATATTTCAGAGAATATATTTCAAAGAATAAAACTGGCTAATTCTGTGTAGAAGAATCTTAGAACCCTTTATTCTTGTCCTAAGCAACTATCTGAAGAGCTCTAATATGTTTATTAAAGATGCAGTATGCAAGATTTAGTTCAATTAAATATAATGAAAAATTAATATATTGAAAATTTCAATCAAATTACTTTATTCTGGTCGAAGTTAACATAGATAATATGGTACTCGCTAAATTTTAAAATCTCACAATCTGATTAAAACACAGATCCTATTTTGTTTCGTTTTTATAGTTCAAAATTTCGTTTTACTTGTCTTTACAATACTAGGATCTGGCCTTCTACTTGATGTGAGGAATTAGCCAATGAAACGGTATGTTACGGCGAGTTCTTGGCCTTTTTATGCACGGAACTGTGGGAAATCAATGTCTGAAGTCATAGGGTCAAAAGCTGCTCGTTTGACCCCTGATGTGAACTCCCACTATAACTTGTCAGATCTTCACGTAGTGTAGGCCATCGAAAGTATAAATAAACAAAACGAAAAATACATCTGTATTTTAATTAGATTGAAAATCTCATGGTTCAAATGCATTTAAATATTGGCCATCCAATATTCCAGTTGATTAATGTCTAAAACTGATAAATGACTAAAGAGTTGAACTCAACTTGAAGCCAGAAAAACGATTTAGCTCTTACATAATGCATCTTTAATAAGTTGCCATTTAAAGAGAGAGAGAGAGAGAAATGGGTTTAACGTCCACTCGACACAAACTAGGTCATTTCGGGACTAACATATGGTTTAATTTTATTTCAATATTTCGCTTGCGCGTAGGGGTCTTTAGCAGTGGGAGGAAACCGGAGGACCCGGAGAAAACCCACGTGGTTGGACAGGCGACCCTACTCCTTGCCACGTACAACCGGGGATTCGAAACCACGTCAGTCGACTCAATGACAGACTTTATGATACAGCGCGCGCACGCTAACCATTCAGCCATCCAACCCCCCAAGTTGCCATTTAAGAGTTTGAACCTAGTTGCATGACTATCTCCTTGTGCCTGGATAAATCTGTCTACTCTTACTTCTCCTTTAAGTTTAGAGAAAGCTAGATCGGAGACGGTCCTGCACATATGATGTCATATGTGGATTAAGGGTTAGGCTTGGCTCAGGGTTAGGGTCAGCACTAGCCCTGTTTACATCTTGAGACTTTGACGAAATCTGAGAGAGAGAGAGAAATGGGGTTTAACTCCAGTTGACTCAATGACAGACTTTATGATGATACAGTGCGCACATGCTAACCATTCAGCCATCCAACCCCACTGTGCAGGAATGGGATGGATGGTCGAATGGTTAGCACGTGCACGCTGTATCATAAGACCTGTCATTGAGTCAACTGGCGTGGTTTCCAATCCCCGGTTGTATGTGACAAGGAGTAGGGTCGCCTGTCCAACCTCTTGGGTTTTCTCCGGGTCCTCCGATTTCCTCCCACTGCTAAAGACCCCTACGCGCAAGCGAATTATTGAAATGTTAGTCCCGAAATGACCTAGTTTGTGTCGAGTGGACGTTAAACCCCATTTCTCTATCTTACCCATGTGCAGGACCATCTGCGATCTAGTGTTCTCCTTTAAGTTTGTAAATGAATAACTTACCTTTTTCACATCCTTGAGTTGTTGTAATTCAAGATGGTACTGACTACATTTCTCCTTCTCAGCTTCAAGTGTTTTCTGTAACGTTGCTCTCCACTCCCTCTCTATCTTTAGATCAGTTTCCAAGGCACTTCTTTAAAATACAATAAATCATAGCCATATATAAAAATAGAATTGGAAATGAAATGAAATGAAATGGGGTTTAACGTCCTACTGTTGCTCTGAACTGGGCTAATGAAGACGGGCATACGCCATACTGTGTGCTATGAGGGAAATTTTGCCTACTCTTATATCGAATTCAAACTGACAAGGGATCTTTTACGTGCATAGTGCACGCCAATGTGTACACGGGACCTCAGTTTTTCGTCTCATCCAAATGACAAGACAGCTGTCCTTGTCAGGCCCACTTCTTTAAAATAGAATAAATCATACCCATATATAAAAAAAAATAGAAATGGAATATATTAAAGCAACATAATTTCTTATAAGAAATACGAGAGTTGTATATGACCAAGGAACAGAGTATGATGTCATGGCAGCCATCTTGGAATTGTGATATCATATCAAAAATTGAGCTCCACAAATCGATGTAAAATTGTGCAAAGAAAAATTGGTAGAGATGTAGTTTTTTTTTCGAAGACCATCATCAACCACTCTATAGAATATCTATATATTATATAATATAACAACCACTTCTATAGAATATCTAGATATTATCATATAAAACATAACAACCACTTCTACAGAATATCTAGATATTATATAACATAACAACCACTTCTCTATGGCATATCTAGATATTATCATATAAGACCTAATACTATTAAATATAATCAACTTTTTAACCTATCACTCAAGTCATGTTTATGATCTGATCTCGGTCGTGAGCTGACTAATCCCAATCAGTGGTCGTTATTGTCACAAAAACAATGAAATTGACTGATTGGGACTGACTTCGGTGGTCGTAATCCGTAGTAGTGAGTTGCCCGTATTACTGAGTTCAATTTCAAAGGAATATAGAAGAAAAAAATTGGTTCTTTTAATATGTGGTCGTATACGTGAGTTGCCCGTAATACTGAGTTGGTCGTTAAGCGGTACTTCACTGTATATGATCTTAGTTGTAAATAAAGTTCTGTTCTGATCTGGGGCCTGTTTCACGAAATTTTAACTAAGATAAAATCCAAATTTTAATAATTTGATTGGATAATATTAGATTGATTTTAGTGCTTAGCCAATCAAAATTGAGGTATCTACTAAAATTTGGATTTTATCTTTAGTTAAGATTTCGAGAAACAGGGCCCAGAGTTGTAAATAAAGTTCTGTTCTGATCTGGGGCCCGTTTCACAAAATTTTAACCAAGATAAAATCCAAATTTTAGTAATTTGAGTGGATAATATTAAATTGGTTTTAGTGCTTAGCCAATCAAAGTTGAAGTATCTACTAAAATCTGGATTTTATCTTTAGCTAAGATTTCGAGAAACAGGGCCCTGGAATACAAATGACTGGTTTGTTATACAACCAGAGCAGCCTTACAATAAGAGTGTATTCCATATAAACTGTGTTATTGTGTTTTTTATAAGGTGCTCAATCGCTAAATGCCACTCAAGGATCATGTTAATTAGTTTAGTTTATTTCAACATCGTATTAAATTCTTGTAGTCATATCAAATGTTGATTTCACTATTTGAATATTCTAGTCATTATTCAAATTCTATTCTATTCAAATATTCAAATTATATTATATTCTAATATTACAATTCAAATTCTATTCTAATATTACAATTCAAGTTCTATTCTAATATTACAATTCAAATTATATTCTAATATTACAATTCAAGTTCTATTCTAATATTACAATTCAAATTCTATTCTAATATTACAATTCAAGTTCTATTCTAATATTACAATTCAAATTCTATTCTAATATTACAATTCAAGTTCTATTCAAATATTACAATTCTATTCAAATTCTAGTCTTTTATTCTAGTCTTTTATTAAAATTCTATTTGAATATTAAAATTCTATTTGAATATTAAAATTCTATTTGAATATTAAAATTCTATTTGAATATTAAAATTCTATTTGAATATTAAAATTCTATTTGAATATTAAAATTCTATTTGAATATTAAAATTCTATTTGAATATTAAAATTCTATTTGAATATTTGAATATTAAAATTCTATTTGAATATTTGAATATTAAAATTCTATTTGAATATTAAAATTCTATTATTAAAATTCTATTTGAATATTAAAATTCTATTTGAATATTAAAATTCTATTTGAATATTAAAATTCTATTTGAATATTAAAATTCTAGTTGAATATTAAAATTCTATTTGAATATTAAAATTCTATTTGAATATTAAAATTCTATAGAATTAGAATATTCTTTTATTTCTATTCTAAAATTCTTTTATTCAAATTCAAGTCTATTTAAATTCTAATCAAATTCTATTTCAAATATTCAAATTCTATTTCAAATATTCAAATTCTATTTCAAATATTCAATTACTATAATTATAGGGATCTATTTTTTTGGTGCATTTTGGAACCCACGGTCTTCGGGTTACTGCTACAATGCCTTACTTTAAAGGCTCAATACCACTCTTGTTGTAACTGAATAATATGTCCCAATCTTTATTCTAGTCAACAAATTGCACTATTTTACAATATTTCATTTAATTGATGATACAAATTTTATCTTAACACATCTAATTTAAAAATTTTGAAAAATTCAAAATTCAAATGAAACTTTGATTTAAAAATATTTTCGAACTCTCTGGACAAGTAAAATACGATGTAATGGATAATTTACACAACAGGTAGGACACTTAAACATCTAGTACTTAGATAGAGATATTATTTATTTTCTGGAGCTTTTAAGCCAGCAAGAGTGTTATTGTCCCTTTAATGCCTTGACAGTTGGAATTCGAGAAAGCGGAACCGTTGCTGTCAGGACAAAATTTCCCTTATAGAGAGAGAGAGAAATGGGGTTTAACGTCCACTCGATACAAACTAGGTAATTTTGGGACTAACACATGGTTCAATTTTATTTCAATAATTCGCTAGCGCGTCAGGGTCTTTAGCAGTGGGAGGAAACCGGAGGACCCAGAGAAAACCCACAAGGTTGGACAGACGACCCTACTCCTTGTCACGTACAACCGGAAAATTGAAACCACGCCAGTTGACTCAATGACAGACCTTATGATACAGCGTGCGCGCTAACCATTCGTCCATCCAACCCCCAAATTCCCTTATAGCGCACACTGGCTAGCTCGGTTGGTGTAGAAAAGTAGGAAACCAAACCCCATTTCAGTTTATCATCATGGCTATTAAACATGCATTATACAAGAGCTAAATTTGCAAGTCTTTTTTTTAGGCGTGAAATGTTATCTAAATTATTAATTAGACATTAATTAACTTATCCATACCATAATCAACTCTCGATGCCATGGTTAACCTGCAACATTTAGTGGATTTGAATACATTTTGTGATGATAGATAATTTAACTCAAAAATGGATAATCGAGACTTTGTTTATTATTGTACCCATGTTAGTAAAGACAATCCAGGCTAGTCTAAAGTTGAATTGCTAATATCTCGGTTCAGAGTGAAGCAATTTGCCCGAAATTTTCAGCAGATTCCCTTTTCATTATCTATTTTTGAACTATTATAGTGAGAAATGTCAGCTCTTTATCTGATCTTACCTAATGCCACTTTAATGCAGCCCAAGCTAAATGAAAAGAAATGAAATGAAATGGGGTTTAACGTCCTACTGTTCTGCTCCAAACTGGGCTATTGAAGACGGGCATACGCCAAACAGAATTCCAACTGTCAAGGGATCTTTTACGTGCACGCCAACGTGTACACGGGACCTCAGATTTTCGTCCCGTCCATACGACTAGAGAGCTGTCCATGTCAGGTCCTCCATCCTGCATCCCTGACAAGGGGGAAGCACGCCTGAAAATCTGGATGAACTTTCTTGGCCAATGCAGGGATCGAACACCCGACCTCCAGGCTAGCGAGCCAGTGTCTTACCCACTTAGCCATCAAAGTTAAATAAGTCAGTGATCTATAAGATGGCTAACACACCACTATATACCAGGATGGTGACACAAAGACGACAAATAAAACAGACCTGGTTTATGTCAACCTTACCAAGGTTATCGAAGTGAAAATAAAAAATGCTAAGTTTGGTAATATAAAATGCCCTTTCATAAAAAAAAACTTGTCTAGAGCATAGATCAATATTTAATGTAATTTAAAATTGAAAAATATATCATAATTAAATATCAACGCCTGGTTGTCTGTTTATAAAATTTATAAACGACATGTCTAACACATGGTAAAACACTGATTTAATATGAAATGAAATAAACAGACAGTGAGTAATGAAGTTTTATGTTTATGAAGTTTGCGTGATTAATGGAAAATTGGGCTGGGTGGATGAATGGTCTAACACATGCATTTTATATCATAAGATCTGTCATTTAGTCAAGTTCTGTTGGTTCGAAGTTTTATTCAAGTCCTGTTTTCTCCCTTTGCTAAAGATCCCTATGAATTAAAGGGACATTATGTAAGAATTAGATAAAGAGCTGGCCATTCTCGCTATAATAGTTCAAAAATAGATAATGGCTATTCTCGCTATAATATTTCAAAAATAGATAATGGCTATTCTCGCTATAATATTTAAAAAAAAGATAATACAAATTGAATATATTGAAAATTTCATTCAAATTACTTTATTTTGAGTAAAGTTATCAATGGTTGTAGTTTTGAAAAGATGTGTGCTTTGATTGTAACCACTGTACTGGTCGTTCGAGTCTTAGCCTCGCTCCTTGTCAGGCCCTCCGTCCTGCACCACTGACATTGGGAAACCACGCCAGAAAATCCTAATGAACTTTCTCGGCCAACACCGCAAGTGACCCCACAACCTACAGGCCAGCGAGCTAGCATCCTACCCACCCTGGTGTGAAAAATAGGACATTAAACTCAATTTAATTTTAATTTTCCAATAAGTTTCTTCGTAACAATAATCAGCAATATCACTTTAGGTAGAAGAGGACTTAAACCCCTATTGTATAGTAGCGAGAGAGAGAGAGAAATGGGGTTTAACGTCCACTCAACACAAACTAGGTCATTTCGGGACTAACATATGGTTTAATTTTATTTCAATAATTCGCTTGCGCGTAGGGGTCTTTAGCAGTGGGAGGAAACCGGAGGGCCCGGAGAAAACCCACGAGGTTGGACAGGCGACCCTACTCCTTGTCACGTACAACCGGGGATTCGAAACCACACCAGTCGACTCAATGACAGACTTTATGATACAGCGCGCGCACGCTAACCATTCAGCCATCCAACCCCCCTGTATAGTAGCACTGGAATGAAACGTCAAAGTAATAATTAGATAGAAGTTTAACAATACATTATGCAAGATCTATGCAGGTCTTTCATTAAGCCTGAAATGTTATCTAAATTATTAATTATACATTAATTAACTTATCAAGACCATAATCAACTCTCGATGTTATTGCTAGCCGTTCCGATATTTACTGGATTAGGATCCGATCTGTTGCCCAACTCTCATAATGGATAATCAAGACCATGTTTTTTATAGTACCGACTTTAGTAATGATGATTACGCTAAATTCTCTGTTCAGAGTTGATCAATTTTACTGAAATTTTCAGCAAAATCCCTTTTCATTACCTACATTTTAACTATTATAGTGAGAACTGCCAGCTCTTTATTTAATCTCTCATTATGTATCTTTAATTAGTATAATTTCATTTTTTTGTTTTGTTCACTATTTTGCAATATTCTAAATATCCCTGTCAATAACAAAACATAGTGACACAATCTAATTGCACCAATCCATTTATTCGAACTTGGCCTCTTACCCCGAACGTTAATTTGATCAACATATTAAATTGACGCTATGAACTACTACAAGTCATGTTGGGAAAGAAATCTATCAACTGTGGGTTTCCATTCATTCATTCATTCATATTAACGATAGCAACATATAAATACGTTTTATACTCAAGTCACAATTTCTTCTAATAGATTCCCACACTTTTGTGATTTGAATAGCAATAGATTAAAAAAACACTGTAAGGATTATGAAGTCTTATTAATCATATTATTTAATCAATAAAACTACTCAAATTATCAAAGAAGATTTAAAAATATCCTTAAAAGCTAAAAAAAAACCCATCCCTGATCTCCATAATTTTGCTATTAATTAAATTTATCAGCTTAATATTCTACTTTGAATTATAATTTTGTTAAATTTGTCATGACGAGTGATCGAGAGGTGAGATCATATGCAGAAATATCTTTAACAGTGGCTTGACATATAATTGAATTTAAGTATAACATGTATTTAATAGGGCGACACATAGAGAATAACGGGGAGAGAGAGAGAGAGAAATGGGGTTTAACGTCCACTCGACACAAACTAGGTCATTTCGGGACTAACATATGGTTCAATTTTATTTGAATAATTCGCTTGTGCGTATTGGGGTCTTTAGCAGTGGGAGGACACCGGAGGACCCGGAGAAAACCCAGGATGTTGGACAGGCGACTCTACTCCTTGTCACGTACAACCAGGGATTCGAAACCACTCAATGACAGACTTTATGATACAGAGTATAGACCATTCGGCCATCCAACCCTCCTAGAGAATAAAGGGGTGTTCAACACTTATATTCTCTGTCAATGTATCATATCTATTGTAACGTTTAGATGCCACCACTCACCCATTTACAAGGGGTTTTACACAGGCTAAGCCTGTTCCCCAATCTCAAACAATCTTATATATATAAAAAAAAACAACGCTCTCTTTTACTAAACTAGAATTCACTAACCTTCTTGTTCACTAGATGCCAACCACATCCTCCTTTACTACACTAGATTTCACCCACATGCCCTTTTACTAGATGCCACCCATACCCTCTTTTAACAGATTTCACCCACACACCCTTTTACTAGATGCTACCCACACACCCATTTACTAGATGCTACCCATACCCTCTTTTACTAGATGCTACCCACACCCTCTTTTACTAGATTTCACCCACACACCCTTTTACTAGATGCTACCCACACACCCTTTTACTAGATGCTACCCACACCCTCTTTTACTAGATGCTAACCACACCCTCTTTTACTAGATGTTACCCACACACCCTATTACTAGATGCTACCCACACACCCTTTTACTAGATGCTACCCACACCCTCTTTTACTAGATGCTACCCACACCCTCTTTTACTAGATGCTACCCACCATATCTTTACAACACTAGATGCCCCCCCCCCCCTTTACAAGAGGCAATCTATCTCCTTTTTAATTTTAATAGCTGCAAGCCTCATTATTGTGCCAAATGCAATCCATCACCATTTATACTTACCATACTACTTTTCATTACTAAACTTTTCAAAATTCCTGTATCTGGACTACACACATCGCTTATCTATTATGTGCAACCTTACCCTCACTTTTACAAGAAGATAAGCTTATCTACTTTTTACTCGGTACCATCTGTCCCCTATTTTACCACTTGTAGCCCTTCAACTACTTTTCATAGTTCATATTTCCAAAGTAAAATTGAACTCATAATTTCTATCCTGCAGTTATAATTACTGCCCCCTCCCATCCCTCCGTCCCAAAAACACGGCAATAATTTGAAAATATGCATACCTCTTAGCATCTTTATCTGCTAACATCTGTCCTAATTTTCTAGCTGTCTCTTCAGCTGCTTGTTTGTCGGACTGAAACTGTTTTAATCTGTAAATAACATATAACACATGAAGTTACATGGAAAGTCGGAAAGTCAACCTTGAATTACATTTGAAATAGGAAGCCATGGTGCTGCAGAGAGTAAAGGTTAAAGGTCCAAGCAATAACCAGGAAATGAAATGGGGTTTAACGTCCTACCTGAGTCAATTTGTTCACACACATGAATTCAGATGTGCCAATGCGCAGATCAATGTGACAAAAGAAGATAACATTCACTGAAAAGGATGTGGACAAAATAATAAAATTGCTAAAAAATAATGAGTAGCTTACTGCTTTACTTTATTATTATCACATCAGATGCAGTGTGGCATCTTTAATCATCCAATGCCCCGTGCCTGGCACATGCTCCGAAAGGAAATGAAATGAAATGGGGTTTAACGTCCTAATGTTCTGCTCTGACTGGGCTAATGAAGACGAGCATACACCATACAGTGTGCAATGAGGGAAATTTTGCCCGGACAGCGACACTATGGCCTACTCTTATACCAAATTCCAACTGCCAAGGGATCTTTTATGCACACTCCAATACATACATGGGATCTTGTTTTTTCGTCACATCCGAAAGACCAGAGAGCTGTCCTTGTCAGACCCTGTCCTGCACCAATGAAGGGGAAACCACATCGGAAAATCACGATGAACTTTCTCAGTCTATGCAGAGACAGAACACCATACCTCCAGGCTAGCGAGCCAGTGTCTAACCCACTTAGCCACCATGTATCCGATCTCCAATAAGCAGAATTAGCTCTTGCATGAAGGACCTTTAACATGGTCAAATATATAAAAAAAAGTCCCTTAAGTCATTTTCGGGTTAGAGAATCCCTTGTAAACTACAATATTGTGAAAAGGAATATCTGCCAACACCGGGAGCAAACCCACAAACTTCAGGCTAGCAAGCCAACGTTTTACTCACTTAGCCACCGTGGGGGTCCCCACTAATTAGAAAGGTCTCCGGTTCAAGGTTTTTAAACCGATTATTTGAGAAAATGTGAGAGGTTTTGAGAGATACAGTAAAGCTGTAAAATGGCCATGTCTTTACACTCTGCATAGACAAATATATTTGAGTTGTATAGATATATATTACAAGACATAGGGTCGCCTGTCCAACCTCGTGGGTTTTCTCAGGGTCCTCCGGTTTCGTACCACTGCTAAAGACCCCTATGCACAAGTGAATTATTGAAATAAAAATTAAACCATATGTTAGTCCCGAAACGACCTAGTTTGTGTCAAGTGGATGTTAAACCCCATTTCTCTCTCTATGGTTATATAATAATATTGCTACTTGAAGACGCTTGCTACCAAGTTAAAATTTGACACAGAAAATGTCATTCAATAAAATAGGATCAAGGAAATTAGAAAGAAGAGACACTGACAGTACTTGAAATACAACACAGACAAATAGGCATCAGAAATAAACACTTAAAATATCTCCCCAATACATTCAACCAATTTCAACGTTATATCGCAAAAAAATATATTGTCACAAAAAGTGTCTGCTAATTTCAATGGAAGTGAACAAAACTGTCTAGATGTTTATTTTAAAAATGAAATGAAATGAAATGAAATGGGGTTTAACGTCCTACTGTTCTGCTCCTATACTGGGCTATTGAAGACGGGCATACGCCATACAGTGTGCTATGAGGGAAATTTTGCCCGGGCAGCGGCACAATGGCCTACTCTTATATCGAATTCCAACTGCCAAGGGATCTTTTACATGCACGTCAATGTGTACACGGGACCTCGGTTTTTCGTCCCATCCGAACGACTAGACAGCAGTCCTTGTCTGGCCCTCCGTCCTGCATCACTGACAAGGGAAAACCACACCGAAAAATTAAATGAAATTAAAAGTGGTTTTACTCTTCTCCACTAACTGAGCTAATGAGAGAGAGAGAGAGAGAGAGAGAGAGAGAGAGAGAGAGAGAGAGAATTGATGTGGTTTAACCTCCACTCAACCCAAACTAAGTCATTTTGGGACTAACATATGGTTCAATTTTATTTCAATAATTCACTTGCGCGCAGGGGTCTTGAGCAGTGGAAGGAAACAGGAGGACCTGGAGAAAACTCATGCGGTTGGACAGGCAACCCTATTCCTTGTCACGGACAACCAGGGAATCAAAACCACGCCAGTTAGCTCAATGACAGACCTTATGATACAACGTGGACATGCTAACCATTCGACCATCCAACTCCCCTAATGGGATTCACCATTCTACCTTTCACCACCAAGCAAGTAAAGTCAGGAATATCATGCCTTGCAGTCTGCTATTAGTGAAATTTGGCCAGAGGTGTTTTCTTTTTATACTTCAATGAATATAAACTAGAAATGGATGTTTTAGGTCTTGACAAGCCCATATCTATATTTCCAGTTTCTATAAATACTCACACCTTTTATAATACTGTAAAGAACTTTGGCTTATACAATTGCTATAACATAATTTGTCATTGAGTCAACTGGCGTGGTTCGATTCCCTGGTTTAAGTGACAAGGAGTTTCTCTCTCTAAATCCCAGTCCTTCACATTTATAAAATTGTGGGGGAGTCATAAAAAGCATCTGCCAATTTCAAAAATAAGAAAAAAGCTTCCGTAAAAAAACTCTTCTTATTGATATTGATTTGCAAGAGTAATTCTACATTTTTTTTTAATTAATGGGAGTCAAATTGTATTTATGCTTTAGTCTTGTTTAATATTTGGTGAGAATTATCATCAAACAGAAACTGAAAGTTTTTTATCAATCGCAATATCTAGGAGAGTAATTTAGCTAATTTGCAGGACACTTTAATGACTACCACAAAGGAAAGTTGATGTGCATTGAGAGGAGGAGTGAAAGCGGCAAAGCGCATCTTAATCGTGAATGAATGAAATCCCATTCCACTTCATTTCGATTCCAAACCCATTAAAGATACATTATGGGAGATAAGATAAAGAGATGGCAGTTCTCGCTATAATAGTTAAAAACTAGATAGTGTAAAGGTAATTTGCTGAAAATTTCAGTCAAATTGATCCACTATGAGCCGAGAACAAAGCGGGTGAAATTTTCGCATAGTCTCTGTCATCATTACTAAAATCATTAATATAAACAGCATAGTCTCGATTATCCAATGTTTTGATTTAATTATCAATGGCCGTTAAGCGTCATATAGGAATCTAATCCAGCCAACATCGACTATGTCTGGATAAAATATAAGTTAATTAATGTCTAATTGACAATTTAGATAACATTTCAGGCCTAAAGAAAGACTTGAATAAGCAGATTTTGCTCTTGCATAATGTATGTTTAAATTAGTATATCAAAATGGGATAACTAGTAATATTATTAATAGACACCATATATCGTGAACCAGGTTATAGTGAGGTACTGGCCACAAGTTCACAAAGCATTCACAGTTAAGAATGTACTCAACTTTCAAGCACTGTTCATGAGAAATATGTTTGATCCAGAAACACAAAACTTTGCACATAGTTTCTTACTGATGTATTTGATATATTAAAACAACAAAAGTTTTATAAAGGGCTATATTTTAATTAAAATACGGCGAACAATTTTGAGTAAATTCTTAACTTGAGTCTGAGAATGCTTTGTTAACTCGAGGCCCTGTTTGTACAAACCTGTTCTCCATTTCTGTCATGGTATTGATCAACTGATTTGTCTTTTCTTCTAATCTTCCAACCATCTCCGTCTTATGCTTTAAACTTCCTTCACAAGTCTACAAATAAATAATATAGGTTTTGAATATATCTTCACAAATCTTTAAAAAATCATACAGTTTTTCATTCCTTAAAGCTGCATTGATCATCATTAGCATTTTTAGACCATCTCTAATTGTTCACAGCTCAATTTATACTGCAATAAAATTTAATTCAATTAAAGATACATTAAATGGGAGATTAAATAAAGAGTTGGTAGTTCTCGCTATAATAGTTAAAAAAATTAATGTAAATAGAATATACTGAAAACCTCAGTCAAATTGCTCCACTATGAACCAAGATGTTAGTTACTCAAGTCGGTACGATAAAAAACAAAGTCTCAATAATCCATTTTGACGTTATCTATTACAAAATGTATTCAAATCCACTAAACATTGCGCGCTAACGATGGCATCAAGAGTTGATTATGGTCTGGATAAGTTAATTAATGTCTAATTCATAATTTAGATAACATTTAAAGCTTAAAGAAAGACCTGCAATAAGCAGATTTAGTTCTTGCATAATGTATGTTTTAGACCATATCTAATTGCTCACAGCTTATCCACACTGCAATAAAATTCATACCAATTAATCAACTGATTTGGATTCAATCAGATTAAAAAGATGTTACTTATATGTGGCACTGGCTTGTTGATATAGATCTCTCTGATTTCATCTCTCAGAGTTAAATATATCAGTTTTAAAAGGGCATCGTTATAGATGTTTACATAGCAAACAACAATGGTCCGATTATTGGATTCACCATTGGTAATTGGCCGTTAAGTGGCCTATCAGTAGAAATCGGTATTGGCCAATACACAGCCATTTTGACCATTCCTTGCATAGTCGATATCTGTTCACACAGATTCAGCAAATAACTTTATTATATTATTCAAATTGTGAACAAATCATTCACTCTTGCTAGGCACTAAGCCCTTTTATTTTACTTGTCGTGTGCGTGACTATTTAGACATAATACAAGACTCAAAGAAATGCTGTCATGCTTTGTCAGCTCATTTTAGCTACGGCATTTTCATATTTTTGGTGCCTTAGTAGAAAAATCCTTATTTCACTGTCATGCTCTATCAATTAATCATGCAACAAATAATTAAGTGCTCAATAGATGTTATTTTTTTTTTTTTTAATTCTGTAGGAAGCGTACATGTAACCTAATCATTCCTTCAATAAACAGTACCATAGTTTCCCGACTAACAATGACATACATCTACATCAACTACCATGTCATTCAGGCATTTTAATGTGTATTATTCTTTAATGAGTCACTATTGGTAATTGTAGCCCCCTATGTGGCCCTGAGTTCACAGAGCATTGTTAGACTTAAGTTTAGAATTTAATCAAAATTGTTTGCCTTATTTTAACTAAAATATCACTTTTTATAAGACTTTTGTTTTAATACATCATTCAGAAAATATGTGCAAAGTTTTGTGTTTCTGAATCAAAGATATTTCTCATAAACAGTGATTGAAAGTTGAGTTAATTCTTAACTTAAGTCTGAGAATACTTTGTGAATTTGGAGCCAGTATTGGCTGATATATTTCACTGTTTTACTGTCAACATCTGATATTGGTAAAACCGATAGTAGCCATATCGGTACATAGCTAATATCAGCACCTACTTTATCGTCTGGAATTTGACAAAAAATGATAAGGAGCGATTTATCACTGAAAAAAATCGTAATGAGACTCCTGTCACAACAATAGAATCCAATCACATTCTTATCCGTAAATAAAACAAAAATCTATCATACACACGGCGATGATTTGACATAAAACAAAAATCTATCATACACACGGGGATGATTTGACATTTTCAAAATTAACAATGATCATAATGTACCAAAATCTCAACACTTCTAATTACATTTTAATACATAATCCTTCATTATGGTGTGTCTATCTTCCTTTTTGTTTAAAAAAGCTATAAAAAAAAAAAGCCAAACCAGAAAACTGCACGTAAATAACATGTCAATATCCCAAACTACTCCATCTTTTCTTAGTTTTAAAATGTGATTTTTAATCCGTAAAGAATAATAAGAGAAACCAGCGGCTGCCAGGCAGGATACGCCCACATTTTTCAAGAGATGGTAGAGAACAAGCTAACAAAAAGCGATTTTTTGTAATATCAAGGGCCATAATCCAGGAAGGTACGATCAGATATGTGCGAATATCGACAGGAACCAAGATCTTTGGGTTATAAACATGCATTTCAAGTTTCATTAAAATCGGATCACAGTCCATTTTGTCTGGCAGTTTTCGTCTGATTTTCACGAAATTCGAACTATACCAACATTACGGTGTAACATTTTTGAAAATGAGATAATAATTGTGACCTCTAGAGGGACCACAAGCTAAAAACAGGATTTTTTGTACAATCAGGGGCCATAATTCAGGAAGTTACGATCCGATATGCGCAAATATCGACAGCAACCAAGATCTTTGGGTTATAAACATGCATTTCAAGTTTCATCAAAATTGTAAGCTCTAGAGTGTCCACAATCTTGATATACCAGATGTTTACACTATTTGAGTAGACGGATGGCCATTTTGTCTGGCAGTTTTGGTCCTATTTTCATGAAATTCGAACTAAACCAACAATATGGTGTAACGGTGACATATTCAAACGTTTTTTAAATCAGATAATAACTGTGACCTCTTGACGGACCACAAGCTAAAAACAAGATTTTTTGTACAATCAGGGGACATAATTCAGGAAGTAACGATCTGATATGCGCGAATATCGAAAGCAACCAAGATCTTTGGGTTATAAACATGCATTTCAAATTTCATCAAAATCGGGTGAAAATTGTGACCTACCATATTTTTACTCTTACTGGGAAAAATATTTTACCATTGGTACACGAATCGTGTACCATAATGTCTTTCAACGCCATTTGTAACACAGGACTCCAAGAACAAAGATAGACAAAGTCTACAAGGTATGTCAAACGGTGACGTCATATTCTGATCTGGAGAGCCTGCGCAATAATTATTATCGGTGTAGATCGCTACAAATTGCCATTCTATTGAGACTTCTGGCGTATTTCGCCGAACATAACTGATTAGAAATTATAGTAAAATCAGAAACGATTGAATGTAAATCAGTTTATATACATTCATATTACATCATTATATTCGTTGCAACCCATTTGTGTCAATTTCTAGGTCCCAAATATGAGCGATTTAGCTCCTTTAAATGCAACCCTATAATAATAATAATAATAATGACAGTATATATATATATTTCCATAGTGCATAAACATGGTTTCCACAGTTTCTAATGTGCTACGAGTTCATTAGAATAATTATTGTTCTCAATGTCATTATCACAAAGGACCTTCAACAAGGAAAGTTTTCAGTTTGTTCTTAAAACTAGATAGAGATGACTCTAGACGTATGTCATGTGTGATGGGAACTGATTCCAAAGAAACGACGCCGAGTATGAAAATACATGTTTTTCAGTCTCTCAAATTAATTAAATTTCCATATTATATTGATAACTGTAAAATAACAAAATATGATGTAATCTAAAACTCACAAACAGGGGTGATTAATGATGATAAGCAGCTCATCGGTGTCATTTAATAACTAATTAGAGAGAGAGAGAGAGAGAGAGAAAGAGGGAGGTTTAACCTCCACTCGACACAAACTAGGTCATTTCGTGACTAAATATGGATCAATTTCATTTCAATAATTCGCATGCGCATAAGGGTCTTTAGCTGTGGGAGGAAACGGGAGGAAACCCACGACGTTGGACAGACAACCCTACTCCTTGTCATGTACAACCCGGAAATCGAAACCACACTAGTTGACTCAATGACAGACCTTATGATACAACGTGCATGCGCTAACCATTCGGCCATCCAACCCTCCTTGATTAATTAACAGCATTAATTAACATTTGAAGCAGCTGCTCGTGGTTTGAGGGATTATGAACACTTTGTAAACTATTGTGAAAGTTAAATCTTTTAAATGAAATGAAATGAAATGGGGTTTAACGTCCTACTGTTCTGCTCCTAAACTGGGCTAATGAAGACCGGCATACGCCATACAGTGTGCTATGAGGGAAATTTTGCCCGGGCAGCGGCACTACGGTCTACTCTTATATCGAATTCCAACTGCCAAGGGATCTTTTACGTGCACGCCAATGTGTACACGGGACCTCGGTTTTTCGTCCCATCCGAACGACTAGACAGCTGTTTTTGTCAGGCCCTCTGTCCTGCATCACTGACAAGGGGAAACCATGCTGGAAAATCTGGATGAACTTTCTCGGCCAATGCAGGGATCGAACACCCGACCTCCTGGCTAGCGAGCCAGGGTCTTTCCCACTTAGCCACGTGATCCCCCAAATCTTTTAAAGGAGGGTTGACCAAGCTGTTACATACCATGAGCCAATTTGTTCACACTCATGAATTCAGATGTGCCGATCCGCATTAAATAGTTACAGAACGATTGCAGAACAAAAATACATCTTTCCTAGTTTGAATCGTTTAGCATTAATACTATATATTAAAGATACATTATGGGAGATTAGATAATGTAAAGGGAATATGCTGAAAATTTCAATCAAATTGTTGCACTCTGAATCGAGATATTTGCATTTGAATTTTAGGCCTAGTCTCGATGATCATTACTAAAGTCGGTACAATAAAAAAACATAGTCCTGATTATCCATTTTTGGATTAAATCATCAATGAGTGTTGAGCAGCAAATCGGATTCAAATCCAGTGAAAATCCGACACACAAGATGACATCGAGAGTTGGTTATGGTCTTGTCATGTTAATAAATGTCTAATTAATAGTATATATAACATTTCAGACCTAAAGAAAGACCTACAATTTGCAGATTTAGCTCTTGCACAATGTATGTTTAACTGAAAACAGACAAAAGAAGATAGCATTCAAAAGGATGTGTACAAAATAATTTGTAACATGGACGGGAAATCTTCCTTTGTTCTTTTCGTTGTATAAGCAGATTGTTTTCCCTCTAGTAGATTGGGTGG